CAGGAGCAGGGACCAAGCAACGGGAGCTCACCCCGTTGAGGGGATTCGAACCGCCAACCTTCTGATCGGCAAGTCCTAGGCTCTGTGGTTTAACCCACAGCGCCACCCACGTCCCCCTTATCATATAACCACCCCGTAAAGATATCTGAAAGAATGTTAAATATAGACTGATTGTATGCTGTAGTCTAATCTCTGCATAAACTGGCTATGTTTTAGGCTCAGTGTTGAACTCAGCAGGGGGGAGGAGGAAGATGGGGACAAAGCTAGAACTCATTGGTTTTACTCACCATTGGCTCTAGCACCTCCAGCCGTTTGCTCTGGCGCCCCCTACTGTTGGCCTCCCTGACCTCTGCCATATCAGTTCCAGCGGGCACCAGCCTCCACTGCTGGAAGAGGCAGTGTGTACAGACTGGGGGTGGGGGGCGCTAAGAACCTTCCAAATGCTGCTGAGCCGACATGGGTGGTCTCTGGCACTGGTAAGCCAGTCGTCTCCTTCCACACAGCCTTGGTGAAGCTAAGGGGCTGCGACAACGTGGAGGATGAAATCGAAGAGCTCCACGAGGAGGACCTCTCTGAGGAATTGGGAAAGGATATGGACATCTTTACGATGTATCACTTCAATGACATATGGAACCACCTCGTCTCTGCCGTCGTCTTGATGGGCGGGCAGCAGCTCACGGGCATTAACGCGGTAGGGCAATCTCCCCAAGGAGAACGGGCCTTTTCGGTGGTGGCTCCTGCGTGTGGGATGCTTTCCGCAGGGAAGCCTGCCTGGTGCCCTCGCTGGCTGATTTGAGGTGCCAGGCAAAAATGTTTTCAGCCAGGCGTTTGGCCTTTAGCCTGGAGAACTGTAGATATTGTGGCCTCCTCTAGTGGGTGGGATATTGAGCAGTGAAAAATCCCCCTCCTCACTAGCTCTCTGTGGAGAACCGAAATTTAGACTGAAAAAACGACAGAAACTGAAATGGACAGATTTGTCTGTATCCTGATAGGGGGTCATCATTCAGCTAAGAATGTCTGTTTCTCCTTTCAGGCCAGCTATTATATGGAGATACTCTACATGGCTATGGGGTTAGAAAAGAAAATTGTCGGGTATATCAGCATAACGATATACATTTTGCTTATGTTCATAACTCTCCTGGTGGTAAGATTCTCTCCCATTTCTACATCAACGCCGACGTGATGAGCTCCAGATGTTGTGGCCTACAACTCCATAATCCCTAATCATTGGTCACACAAGCTGGGGCTGATGGGAATTGTAGTCCAAAAATGTCTAGAAGGCATCACGTTCGTCTCCCCTGATATGAATGTTTAGCTTCTCCTTGTAATGCTTCTACCCTTGGCCTACTCCAAAGGCCAGCACTTTGATAGTGTGTGTCTGTGTTAAGCTGGCTGAGTTGTTCCAGTTTTCCTACAGACAAACTCCAAGTCCGGGTTCAGAAGGCATGCAAAGACAAACCATGGCTTAGCTCACAGAGGAGGGGCAAAATGGCTGCCATCGCCTCTCCAGAGATCTGGGTGGAATCTAGACACATCAAAAACGCTGTGGAAATGCTTTTGAACAAAGTTTCGAAAAATTTATTGGATTTGCCATAGCTCACCATCGCCATCTAGTGTCACATTTGTATAATGCACTTTGCAACCCAGTTTAAACGTTTTATTTGCAGCTGTATAGCTGAGTGCCTGGTTTGGCTTAGGGTTAAGTAAAAACAGAGCTTCCACCTCTGGGCCCATCCAGGCTGTTGCTAATTTCGGGTGGGATTCAGATGGGCTCAATCCCCAGTTGCATCTCCAGGTAGGGATGGGAATGTACTCTGCCAGAAACTCTGGAGAGCTGCTGCCAGCCAGTGTAGTCAATACTGAGTTCGATTGGCTAATGGGCTTCACTCAATATAAGATAGTTTTTTATATTCCTACGTCTGTAGGGCTATAGTTCAATGGTAGAGCATCTGCTTTGCAGGCAGAAGGTCCTAGGTTCAATCCCCAGTATCTCAAGGCTAGGGAAGACACCCTGGCTGAAACCCTGCAAAAACTACTGCCAGTTAGTGCAGACATTGCTGAGCTAGAGGGATGCAATGGTCTGACTTGGCACAAGGGAGCTTCTTAGGTTCCTAATCACATACTAGCCAATGAGCGGCGAGAGATGATTGGGAGGTTTAGCGCAACAAACCCTCTTCCCAAAAATGCAGGAAGCAACAAGGAAATGCACTGGAATTATCTAATCTCCCTGTAAGGTAATGAATATGGTCACCCATTAAATAGCTGACATCTCCCTGCAAATAAATCAGAACGTATGCTCAATAGGCAGGCCATCTTGAAGCACCCTTCCTCTCTCTTTCTAACTTCCCTGTTTTTTGTATCCGTTAGATCCGTTTTGCTGATTCTTCGGGGCACAGAAATCTCCTACTCAGTGGCTTGGGGATCTGTAGCATCACCTGCGTCCTCTTAGCCATGGCGATTGAATTACAGGTCTGTATTGCAAGTCCGCAAACTCTTGATGTCTGACGCTAAGCACCCACCAATGCTGCACCCTCAGTTCTTGGGATAATGATAAATAATAATTTATCTGTTGCATTTGTTAGTCTTTTTTGGTTGCAGAAAGTAAAGTCCCCAAGGGACTTGCAATGTAAGACAAGAATGAAAACCAAAACTGAAATAAAATAAAAGCTACAAACATTCTTATGCATTAAACAAAGGAGGCCACAATATCCCAAACTCCCCGAGCCTGGCTGAAAAGAAACATTTTTGCCTGGTGCCCCCAAGTAGTTAGTGATGGTGAACCTCCCTGGGAAGAGAGCATTTCATAAGCAGGTGCCACCACTGAAAAGACCGTTCTCCTGTTGCCACTCTATGGAGATGGCACATGGAGAAGAGCATCACATGATGAATGATGCTGATTTTGTGTAGTGGATGCTGCTTTAATGGAAATTATGGGTTGCAGTCAACTGAATCCTACTCAGAGGGAACCCATCATAATTATGTGGTGTGGTGGTCAGCTGGTGTGGTGCAGTGATTAGATCAGGGGTCAGCAAACTTTTTCAGCAGGGGGCTGGTCCACTGTTCCTCAGACCTTGTGGGGGACCGGACTATATTTTTTGGGGGGGGGGAAATGAACAAATTCCTATGCCCCACAAATAACCCAGAGATGCATTTTAAATAAAAGGACACATTCTACTCATGTAAAAACACGCTGATTCCTGGACCATCCGCGGGCTGGATTTAGAAGGCGATTCGGCCAGATCTGGCCCCCAGGCCTTAGTTTGCCTACCCATGGATTAGATTGTTGGATTGGGGTGTGGGGAGAACAAGGTTCGAATCCCCACTTGGGTCACAAAGCTCACTGGGTGTGACCTTGAGGCCAGCCCCTGCCTCTCCGCCTAACCTACCTCACAGGGTTATTGTGGGAGAGGGAGAATCACGTGTGTGCCACCTGGACATTCTCAGAGGAAAAGGTGGGATAGAAATGCAATAGATAATTAAATAATAAATGAAGAACAGTGGTGCCTCGCAAGACGAAATTAATTCGTTCCGCAAGTTTTTTCTTCTTGCGAGTTTTTCGTCTTGCGAAGCACGGTTTCCCATAGGAATGCATTGAAAATCAATCAATGCGTTCCTATGGAGACCGTCCGGGGACAGAGGGGAAGCGCCGCACGCCTTCCCCTCTGTCCCCGGACCTGTTTTAAAGCAAGGGAAGGGGCAGCGGGGAGAATCGCTTCTCCCCGTTGCCGCCCCTTGGTTCAAAAGGGGTCCGGGGAGAGAGGGGAAGACGCGCTGCGCTTCCCCGCTATCCCCGGAGCTTGCAGGGCAAGCTTCGTTTTGCGAAGCAAGCCCATAGGGAAATGCGTCTTGCGAAGCGGCTAAGAAAACGAAAAACTCCTTCGTCTAGCGAGTTTTCCGTCTTCCGAGGCGTTCGTCTTGCGGGGTACCACTGAAATCCATTAACTTCAGTGCTGCATACCAGCCGAGATGAGCTAAAGTCCATTAACTTCAGCGAGGCTGCGCTGAGTTGGACTGGCATTGGATAAAACCCTATAATTTTATTTATTTGTTCATTTATTTCTACAGTCACGGAACATGAACATTTACACATTGACAAAATGGTAGCTCTGTGGGGGAAGCTCAGGAATTTCTGGCACCAAACTGCAGTTCCAAGAATTGCTTGCAGGAGGTGATGACAATTGAACTGGTATAAAACTGAGAAATTTTGCAGGACAGAGCAGATAGGCTGTTAATTAAACCATGTTGTTGTTTTATTGTTGTTTTGATTTCCTTCCTCCCAAAGGAGCCCAGGGTAGCACATGCAGCAATGATATATATTTTTTAAAAAAAACACACACAACTCAAAGCAATTTTAAAACACTCTAAAACCAGTTAAAAACATTTTTATGTATAAAAAAACAGCTAAAAACACTCTTAGCTGGTGATCATAGGGTTGCCAGGAGCAGTGTCTTTCAGCCATTAAATGCCTAGGTTAAACAAGAGTGTTATTCAATTCCTGAAAGTAAGTAATGAAGGGAGTGGATGAGAGATGCACCACAGCAGGGAGGACATTCCACAGGCAAGGAGCCACCACTGAAAAGGCCCTGTTATGTGTCAACGCCAGCTGGGCAGTCCCCAGTGGCACCACCAACAACAGGGTGCTGATCACCTGCTGATCGTAGGGTCTGAGATGGTTGATACTAGGGAGAAGAAAGCACCACTGAGTTCAATGGAGCTTATGCCCAAGCATAGGAACACAGTCACGGTCCTATTAAATAGGGTTTCCTGGTGATAATGATTGCAGTAGTGGAGTATCTATGTCATTTGCAACCACAGCACTGTCTCTGCCTGAACTGTGAGTCCCTTTCTCCAACAGAAGACCATCTGGTGGATGTCATATGTCAGCTCATCTTTCGTTACCCTCTTCCTCATTGGACAGTCCATCGGGCCAGGTAAGCTCTCTGATGAAGATGATTTATGAGACTTGTCCATCTCTTGTTACACTGAGCTCTCCAGTACAGTGGTACCCTTGGTTTACGAACTTAATCTGTTCCGGAAGTCCGTTCTTAAACCAAAGTTTCTTAAACCAAGGCGTGCTTTCCCATAGCACCAGGGGACACAATTTACACTCAACAGGAAGCGGAACATGTTCTGCTTCCAAGGCAAAGTTCACAAACCAAAACACCTACTTCCGGGTTTGCAGCATTCTTAATCCAAGTTGTTCATAAACTAAGCTGTTCTTAAACCAAGGTACCACTGTACTGACATAGTTGGACAAAGACACACTTAGTCCATAAAAATATATGCAATGCCACACAGACACACCCCAAACAGCTGTGTAAGTGTGCTGCCAAACATCATCATAAGTCTGAAGGGGAATCCAACATTCGTGCTGCTCAGAGTAGATCCATTGAAGCTAGCGAACGTGGCTAACTTCAGTTCGCTAATTTCAGTAGGTCTTTTCTGAGTAGAATTTCACTGGCTACACCCCTAAGTCTTTACCTGGGCCACATTCCCAGCCATACATTTAAAGTAGCACCATGGCACGTCAAGCAGTCATGGCTTCCCCCAAGGAATTCTGGGAGCTGTAATTTGTTATGGGTGCTGAGAGTTATTGGGAGAATCCTCTACTCCAGGCATAGGCAAACTCGGCCCTCCATATGTTTTGGGACTACAACTCCCATGATCCCTAGCTAACAGGACCAGTGGTCAGGGATGATGGGAAGTGTAGTCCCAAAACATCTGGAGGGCCGAGTTTGCCTATGCCTGCTCTACTCCCCTCACAGAGGTCTCTGAGAAGAAAAGTTGGTTGTTAAACCAGTCTAAGAATTTCAGTTCTTGACGGGGGGGCGGGGGGCGGAATAGGGGCCTCCTAGCCACTCTCTGCACCTCTAACAAATGGCAGGTCCCATAATTCTCTGGAGGAAGCCACGACCGTTCAAAGTGGCATCGTAGCATTTTAAATATATGGCCAGGATGTTCAGGGCTCCTTGAGGAAGCACAAGAGATGAGTAGCATAGATAAACTTCCCTGTTTAGGGAAGTTTTTAATGACTGGTGTTTTAATGTACCGGTACTTTTAATATTTTGTTAGAAGCCGACCAGAGTGGCTGGGGAAACCCAGCCAGATGGGCGGGGTATAAATAAGAAATTATTGTTATATTATTGTTAGCGAAAATGAAAATGGGGCATTCTCTCTCTCCTGGCCCAGATCCGGTTCCAGTGGTGATTGTAGCAGAGCTGTTCCTTCAGTCATCCCGGTCCACTGCCTTCATGGCTGGGGGCTGTGTTCACTGGTTCTGCAAATTCGTTATCGGAGTCGTGTTCCTTCAGATGGAGGTAAGTGGCTTTGGCTAATACACCCAAGGTTCTCATAGAGGAGTCCCAGGTCATCAAGCCTGAGATTCCACAGACTCCACCTGCCATGAGGCACCATTGGCAGCGGCAATGTTCTATGCTTATGATAACATTTTATTCTCCTTCTAATTGTGCTGTTTTAAAGGTGCATTTGATACCTTGACTTCCTTTAGCAATGTTTCCTTTTGAAATGTTTAAGATAATGGTTTTTTGTGTGTTGACTTTGCTGCGTCAAATGTGCATTCTGTAGCTGGCCTCCTTTGCAATTAAGATAAAGATTTCCAAAATTTCTCAAATTAGATAATTACATAACGACTATGTTTCATAGATTGGCTTCCCTCCCTCCTACCTACCCACCCACTATGTTTTTATTCAAATCCTTTTCTGCTGCATTATATAACAAACTCTTCTCTATTACAAAAAAAAACACAAAAAACCCTTCTAGTACAATTATTTTATTCAAAACAAAAAAAATTCCTTCCAGTAGCACCTTAAAGACCAACTAAGTTAGTTCTTGGTATGAGCTTTCGTGTGCATGCACACTTCTTCAGATAAATGAAGAAGTGTGCATGCACACAAAAGCTCATACCAAGAACTAACTTAGTTGGTCTTTAAGGTGCTACTGGAAGGAATTTTTTTTGTTTTGACTATGGCAGACCAACACGGCTACCTATCTGTAACTGGAATTATTTTATTGTTTTTCATCCACTGCTCATATCTCAAATCCTGCCTGCAATTTCATTTGGCTATAATGCTTTTTCAAATAGTCCCCAAAAGGCCTTTACTCATCTATTAAAAAGTTTGTCATTTCGATCTTTTGGTTTAGCTGTCAGCTTTGCCAATTCTGCATAGTCTGTTACTTTCAGAAGCCATTCCTCCTTCAGAGACTGGTTTTCTGAAGCACCTGCCCCCTCCATTAAACCTTGCTTTAGCTGTGTTGAACAAGGGTGTTAAGTTGTGGGTGAGCCATATGAGACGACACAGCGATTCTTCAAACAGCTCTTGTTTATTCAGAGGCCTGAACAGAACTGAACTGAAGGGTTCAGTCAGCCTGCTTATATAGAGCTCCACTAGAATTCAACAGTAACCATTTTCTGTAACCATCCAATCACTGAACGTCACTTTCCATCCCTTATTTGCATATGTGGACCTGAGTGAAAACTATCTACAGTATCCCCCTGCTGGCCCAGGGTGAGAACTTCAGTACATAACAAAGGGTGCTTCAGAGAGCAGTTTGCCAAACCGCTCTGAGAAGTGCCTCCGATCTCTGCCCCGTTAAACAGCTTGCATGGGCTGCCTGCTTGCTCGCTTGCCTGCCATTATGCTGGAGTTGGTGTGGCTGCTACTATCTGTAGCTTGATGACATTCTCTTACACACACTCCATTTCGTGCTCTTTCTCTCTATCCTTTTCTCTCTTTTCTCTCTCCAGATACACATTGAGCCTTACAGCTTTCTCCTCTTTTGGCCTCTCTGCGTAGCCATCTTAATTTATGCCTTCAAGCAGATCCCGGAAACCAGCGGCCAGAACTTCCTGGATATCAGGAGGACCGAGGCAATCCGAATGACCAGGACCCTCCTGCTCATGCAAATCTCAGAGGACTAGAAACTTGGGAGACAGTCCATGCAGATATTCTGTTCGGTTGGCCCATTGGTGATCGCAGCAGTTTCCCTTCTGGTCTGACTGAACAGCCTGGACTTTATTCCTTCTTTTTCCTACACTGGACTCCGACTGCCACCACCTCTCACTATTGGCTTATGTACCTACCTGAAGGGTCATAGGCTACCCATCCGTGCTTTAATCAGCCTTAATAAAAGCTGGATCAGCCACTCATGCAGAGACACAGCAGGGAACTTCATTTCTGGATGATGCGTCCAGCTCTCAGGCACCTATAATCCACATATGGGGGACCAGATGTCTCCAGATGTTGCTGAACTGTGACTCCCATCACTACTGGCCATGGTGGCTGGGGCTTATAGGGGTTGGACTCCCACATCAGGAGTCCCCCATCCCTCCCACAACATCACGAGTTCCCCATCCCTCATCTAGAGTTATGCCCAATGGCCATCCTACTCAGAGTAGACCCATTGAAACTAATGAACTTGGCTTCCTCAATATCTTTTTTTTAAAAGAAAAAAACTGTCTAACAGGCTATTTTTCTATTGGTGCTTATTGCTCAGCCTTCATTATCATTATTACATTTTTGTTGATAATAGCACATGCTGTATAAACTGAAGTATAATAATAATAAATCCACGTGTGATGTATATCCCTGTCTCCAGGAAGTCTCTGTGTTTCTTTTCATAGAATCACAGAATTGTAGAGTTGGAAGGGACCCTGGGGATCATCTAGTCCAACCCTCTGCAATGCAGGAATATGCAGCTGTCGCAGACAGGGATCAAACTCGCAACCTTGGTGTTATCAGCACCACACTCTCACCAAGTGAGCTATCCAGGCTCTAACAACCACAAAATTACAATCCTGCCTGTTTCTCCAAGGAGCTGAAGGCAGCATCCATGGTTCTCTCCTCCATTTTGCCCTCGCGACAACCGTGTCAAGTAGGTTAGGCTGGGAGATGGTCCCAAGGCCATCCCAATGAGCTCTCAGATACTCTTTGCTGTGAGAAGCCACACTGACGCCTTTGCCTCAAAGGCCTGAGGTAAAAGTGTCCCTAAGGTTTCTTAAACTCAGTCATCAGGCCCGTGGAGGAGATGCCATGGAGGCGACAGGTGGATTCCAACGAGATGGGGGCAGCAAAGATGGAGGTGGAGTTAGATGGCCCAGGAGAAGGCCTGTGTGAGGTGAGGGAGGCGGAATTGGGGCGTCAGGGAATGTTGGAGCTTGCGGAAGTGACCAGGGACCAAAAGGCTCAGGAGCTGGATTCTGGGGAAGGTTCCGGTGGGTTGTCAGTGAGCTTGCCGATCAGAAGGTTGGCGGTTCGAATCCCCGCAACAGAGTGAGCTCCTGTTGCTCTGTCCCAGCTCCCGCCAACCTAGCAGTTCGAAAGCACACCAGTGCAAGTAGATAAATAGGCATCGCTGTGGTGGGATGGTAAACGGCGTTTCCATGTGCTCTGGTCTCCGTCACGGTGTTATGTTGCGCCAGAAGCGGTTTAGTCATGCTGGCCACATGACCCGGAGAGCTGTCTGTGGACAAACGCCCGCTCCCTTGGCCTGAAAGTGAGATGAGCACCGCAACCCCATAGTCGCCTTTGACTGGGATTAACCGTCCAGGGGTCCTTTACCTTTTTACCTTGCTAACAGCAACCTGCTAGATCAGGCCAATGGCCCCTCTAGTTCAGCATCCTGTTCCCCAAAATTCCTTTGAGAAACCGGAAAGTAGGACCCGAGCGCAAGAGCACCCTTCTGTGGGATCACAGCCTCCAACTATGGAAGGACAGTACAACCATCTTGGCTAGTAGGCATTGATAGCCTTGTCGTCCATGAATTTGCCTAGAATTCTTATAAACCATCCAGTTTTGTGGCCATCACTGCCTTTAGTGGGAGGGAGTTCCACAGGTTAACTGCACACTGCATGAAGCAGTCCTTTCTTTTCTCTGTTCTGAATCTTCCAACACTCAGCTTCGCTGGGTGGACCTGGGTTCTAGTGTTATGTGAGGGGGAGGGGGAAGAAAACCTTTTCTATATCCTCTTTCTCCATAGCACAATGCGTAATTCTATACATTTCTTGTCAGGTCACCTCTTTTTTTATTCTCTAAAGTAACAAACCCACAAATGTAATGTTTCCTCCCATAGGCGCTGCACGAATGCTGAACACTTGAAAGCCCCATACTAATTATTATATTACCCTTTAAAATCCTCTGGGATTTAATGTGAACTTGGGAAATTCTAGCAAAAGAAGAGGAGCTCCAGGCAATGAAAGCAGCGCTGTTCCATCCCTACCGGGATGAACTTCTTATATCTTCAACCATCATGTAAAGTAGATCAATATATTTAATATTGTATTTAATTGTTGTGGGGCGAAGGTCATGTTGTTGTTGTATAAATATTTCAAGCTCCTGATTTGCAATTTGGAGGGGAGGAGGTGCTAAACTGAGAGTGTGTGGCTTTCCTAAGGCCATTTAGTGTGCTTGTGTGAAAGGTGGTTTTAAGTCAGGATTTGCTGATGGTCCCTTAGCCTGGTTTCTTCCTGTTAATACTCTGCAGGCAACCTCTGAGCAGCTATGCTACACCAGCTGTATTACTCAGATCTGATACGCTCCAACATGGACGTCCTTTAGTGGGCCTTCCAACTGTCAACAGCTTCCCCTGGAATCTTCCAGCCACCATCCCCTGATTGGCTCTTGCAACGCTGTGAACCTTCCGAATGACTTGTTTCAATGGGAAATAGAGCCTGGCTGCCTGTTCCGCCATTCGCCAGTTCCGAAAGCTTGGGCTAGTCCAGGGGTCTGCAACCTTTAAGACAAAAAGAGCCACTTGGACCCGTTTCCGAAGGAAAAAAAAACTGGGAGCCGCAAAACCATTGCGGCATTTAAAACAAATATAACACTGCATATATTGTTTCTTACCTTAATGCTATATATACAGGATCGTAATGCACACACCGCCCCCATGCGACGTCACAGCCAGTACAGCGCCTGCCACAGTGGGGAGTGTCGGGGTGCACAATGCGCCTCCTCCCCTCGCCAGTATCCGCCCCGGAGCCGCAGCAAAGGTGTAAAAGAGCCACATGTGGCTCTGGAGCCACAGGTTGCAGACCCCTGTCCTAGTCCAACTTCCCAACCACTACGCCACGCTGGCTCTTTCGATGGGTCTACTCTGAGTAGGGCTCGGCTAGCGACAACCCAATAATAACAATCTTGCATGTGGCTGAGTTAAGGCCGCCTGGCATGCTCACTGCTCAGCTGCTCAGCCACGATGGGATCCTGGTATACCTAATTCAATCACCTGGCCTTCCAACTGCCAACAGCTCCCCCAAATGGAATCTTTCAGCATCCTTCCTCTGATTGGCTCTTGCAATAGTGCCTGCCCTTTGATGTCTTTCTTTCAAGAGAAAACAGGGCGGGGCTGATTTCACCCCTCTACTTCCAAGAACAGAAAGCTGCGGTAAGTTTCTGTGCCTTGCATAGCTGTCAACCTTCCCTTTTTGGGCGGGAAATTCCCTTATTCCAGCGCCGTTTCCCGCTGCTTCCCGCTGCTTCCTCGGATTGTGAGATATCCTGTAGACTGTCCCCGGGATAGGTGAGGCTGCTGATCCCTTATTTTCAAGGCTGCTGATCCCTTATTTTCAAAATTGAAAGTTGACAGCTATGGTGCTTTGAGGGGGTGGGTTGGATCCCTACAGACAGACTTCACCGCTACCCACTTCTGGGACTGTTGACCCAATGGATTACCTTGGAGGACAACTGCTTTGGTTTTCCCTCCATCGTTTCTGACTTGGTTTAAATCTGGGAGTAGGAAACTTGTCGCCCCCCCCCTCCAGGTGTGGTTGGACCACGACTCCAACCCCTGCTTCCTGTTGGCCATGCTGGCTGGGCCTGATGGGAGTTGAAGTCCAAGAACAGATGGAGCCCACGGGCTCCCTATCCCTGCCTTAATCAGTTGTAATAACAAGCCAGAACAGGCACTCATGCAGAGACTGAGCAGGAAGCCTCCTTGTCTGGGTGGTGCTCCCAGATCTCAGGAGTCTGCCTCTCTGTCTTCCTGACTTCTTTAAACATTCAGGAGGCAAGTCACAGGCCTAAAGTATGTCCCTGCCACGAGCATTCACTACCACAAGACGTGCTTTTTAGACTTTTTTTGTTTCCCACCCTGGGACTGAAAATATTCAGTGAAAAGTGAGCTATAAACACCACTAGTAAGTAAGTAAGTAAGTAAGTAAGTAAGTAAGTAAGTAAATGCATTTTGCAGGAGGGTTTCCAGCACATAGCAGAAATTTAGGTTTGTGCAATTGAAGTGGATTAAAAGGCAATATCACCCCAGCGCAATAAGCACATTTTTGAAAAGAAAAAAAGGAACAGACTTTTTGCAGTTTGGAAAATGACGTGGAAATGCCTAGAAAAGTGTAGAAGGAAGGAATGCCTGACAAGCAAATCAGGCTGGGTGCTGAGCTCAGCGTCATATAATCACCCTGCGAACAATGTGGTATAGTGGTTAGAGTGTCGGACTAAGACCCAGATGGCTAGGATTCAAATGCCTACTTGGCTATGAAGCTCACTAGGTGACCTTGGGCTGGTCACTGTCCTCTCAGCCTAACCTGCCTCCCAGGGCTGTCATGGGGAGGTGCAGAAACATATATGTCACTTTGAGCTCCTTGGAGATAAAGGGGGGATGTAGACTGGATAACTTGCCGTATTTTTTGCTCTATAAGACTCACTTTTTGCCTTCTAAAAAGTAAGGGGAAATCTGTGTGCGTCTTATGGAGCGAATGCAGGCTGCGCAGCTATCCCAGAAGCCAGAACAGCAAGAGGGATTGCTGGTTTCACTGCACAGCAATCCCTCTTACTGTTCTGGCTTCTGAGATTCAGAATATATTTTTTCTTGTTTTCCTCCTCCAAAAAATAGGTGCGTCTTGTGGTCTGGTGCGTCTTATAGAGCGAAAAAGACGGTATTTAAAAAATAATGAGGAAGGTGGTGAAATTAAGTTTAAAAAGTTTGAAGAACTGCCACGTATGTTAATAAACTGGTTGCAATATTATCATCTAAATGAATTGTTTAAAACAGATAAAAAGTTAGGTTTTGGGAACCAATCATTCCAGTTGGAGAGAGACCTGCTGGATATTAGTCATATTAAGGTAATTTGGAGAGAGACCTGCTAGATATTAGTAATATTAAGGTAATTTCAGAAACGTATAAGATATGCAAACAAAAGATGAGCAAGTGAAATCTTCTATGATACACTGGGCAATGGATAGCAAAAATGTATAAATCTGAATCGAATATTTGCTGGAAGTGCAAAGAAAAAGAAGGTACCTTTTTCCATATGTAGTGGGAAATAATATACAATGAGCTGAAAAAAATGTTTAAGGTAACTTTTTATAAGAAACCTTTTAGAGATTAGAGATACCTAAACAATATAAAAACTTGTTTATATATGTGACCACAGCTGCTCGTATATTTGTCCAAAGATTGAAAGAAGACAACGTCCCAACCAAAGAAGAATGGCAGCAAAAAACTATTGGAATATATAGAAATGGCAAAACTCACCGGAAGAATAAGAAATCAATACGACAGTGTCTTTGATTTAGAGTGGAAAACGTTTATTGAATATTTTATAAACTATTGCAAACAGATACAATCATTAAATAAAATTTTATCATTAAATTAGTGATAAAACTAATTTTGAATATATGGGTTAACTAATAATTAGGCTTAAACTGGGAGCTGCAGTAAAGATACTATAAATATAAGAAACCGCAGAAAGGGAGGAGGGAGGCAGAAATGGGGTTTTGAAATTTGATGTAAAATAATATCTTTTTTGTTTGATGGAAACTGGAAAATGATACACACACACACACACACACACACACAAATATATATATATATATACGAGAAAGGTGGTATATAAATGCAATATAAAAAAATCGATAAATCAAAGTGAACTCTCAGCAAAGACTGGTGATTGGCATACATTTAAAGGGGACTGTAGCTTGTAAAGGGTTCAGGGAACTGTAGGTCCGTAAGGGGCAAACTATAGTTCCCATTATCCTTTGGTGGAAGCCATAGGGTTTAAATGCGTGGCGTGTACATAGCCATAATCAAACCTCTGCAAAAACAAATCAGGAGGGGTGCCCAATAAACAGGCTGTCAGGAGGAGCTGTCCATGGACCATTTAGTCAGGCATAGGCAAACTCCGGCCCTCCAGATGTCCCTAGCTAACAGGACCAGTGGTCAGGGATGATGGGAATTGTAGTCTCAAAACATCTGGAGGGCTGGAGTTTGCCTATGCCAGGTTTAGCTATTCTTATGTTCTTAAAGAAGTTGCAAGAGACAATAACCGCCTGACAAAATGTCCCTCTTCTTCCCCCCACAGCTGAGACTCAATTATGAAAACTACCGGAAGAAGCATTGATAGCAAGGCAGTGCCGGAACCAAAGCCCATAGTTCACAAATGGGTGAGTTTGGACATGGCCAACTCCCTGCAATGCAGGAATATGCAGCTGTCCCACATGGGGATTGAACTTGCAACCTTGGCATTATCCCCACCATGCACTAACCGTCCAATTTGACCTAAGAGGCCATTTTTAAAATTCAACCCTCCCACATCAAACAAGTGACATCACACAACCAGAATACTGGGGAGCGTTCTGCTGTTGCACTCAGGCCCTGCTACGTTTCTTTTCTAAAGGATGCTGCTGGCTCCCAGAAGCCTTTGGTCCAGCAATAGGGGGAACTGTGGGTCTTCTAGATACTGCTGAACCGCAGCTCCCACTAGCCCTGACTACTGACCATGCTGGCTTGGGGCTGATGGGAAATGGAGTCCAGCAATACCTGGAGGGCCACAGGTTATATCACCTTGCACCATAAACACTCCTCCTATGAGCAGAACTCTGCCCACACTGCCTTAAGATCCAAGCCATTTGTCTTTCATTAACTATGTCCTATGCATTGATGGGGAGACGGGTGGTGCTGTGGGTTAAACCACAGAGTCTAGGGCTTGCTGATCAGAAGGTTGGTGGTTCGAATCCCCGTGACGGGGTGAGCTCCCGTTGCTCGGTCCCTGCTCCTGCCAACCTAGCAGTTCGAAAGCACGTCAAAGTCCAAGTAGATAAATAGGTACCACTCCGGCGGGAAGCTAAACAGCATTTCCGTGCACTGCTCTTGTTCGTCAGAAGCAGCTTAGTCATGCTGGCCACATGACCCGGAAGCTGTACGCCGGCTCCCTCGGCCAGTAAAACGGGCTGAGCGTTGCAACCCCAGAGTCGGTCACAACTGGACCTAATGGTCAGGGGTCCCTTTACCTTTACCTTATGCACTGATGAACACTTTGCCTGACAGCTGCTCTTATCTGCTGCTTTGATTTCCTGTAGGAGGTGACAAATTCGCTTCTCCGAACAGTGCTGGTCACCAGCTTGGGATCTATCCAATATGGTTACATCCTCTGGGTAGTCTATTCACCAGTGCTGGTAAGAGGACCCTGCGGCACAGGCGGTTTCTTACAACAGGGGCTTCTGACTAAGCTTCTGGGAGTTAGCAAATCATGGAACAGTAGAGTAGGAAGAGACCCCCAGCGGTCATCTAGTTGAACCCCTTGCGATCCAGGAATCACAGCTAAAGTCATCAGAGATATTTTCAGGTTGTATCTAGGGGTGGAGTGAAATTTGAAATAGTTTGTGTTTTAAGGGCACAACTACCTAGAATACACTTTCCAAAACAAGTTGCCAACTGGAACACCCTTCAAAATTCACACTTCTCAGAATTTTGTGGTGCAGTGTTTCAGCTAGTGTATACAAAAAATAAAATGTGTATATTATTAGTGCAGATAAATGCATATATATTAGTTAAAATAAGATAGGCTTCCCACCAAGTTTTACTCAGCGTAGTGCCATAGGGGTCTCCTAACAACTCTCAGCATCCTTAACAAATGAAATCATTTGGTGACGATGGAGCCTTGGTCTCTTGCAGCAAAAACTCGAAAGTGTCTAGTGGGACTTTAAAACAGGTGTGGAGGATCTTTCTTCAGCCCAAGGCTCACATTCTCTTCTGAGCAACCATTGGTAGATGCTGTTGGTGGACAAGGCTGGAGGAAGAACCATTTACAGAAAGAAGAAAACAATGAAATGCTTAGGGTTTTATTTTACAAAGTTGAAATCAACTATTTAAAACCTTTTTAAAAAATGAAAATTAAAATCAACGGTAAGCCGAAAACCGGATTCAAACAGACACCAACGCTCTATGTGTCTGTATAGGCTTTCTCAAAAGAAAACGTTTTTAGCAGTCGCCGAAAAGAATACAGTGAAGGCGCCTGCTTGATATCAAGAGGCAGGGAGTTCCAAAGTGCAAATGCTGCCACTCTAATAGAGAGAAGTTCTACATATGAGTATTATGTGGCACCTGCAAGGGTGCCAGTTCCTTCTGATTAGGATGTCTTGTGGATACACTAACCCTGCCCATGATATGATTTCCTCTCTTAGCTCATGGAAGACATGGGTAATGCTGCGAAGACTCCAGGAGAGCAGCAGTATCTGTCCTTCATGCTAGGCCTTGCCATCAGTTTGTTCCCTATTGGAGGCCTTACTGGAGCACTCATCGCAGGAGTCATGGTGGACGAATATGGAAGGTATATATAGATGACCTGGTGATTAGTGAACTTCCAGTCCTAACTTTGGACGTGGGGCAGGTGGGCAGGGGAGTGGGGCTTCTGCTGAGCCCTGTCTCCCCAGCCGAGGCTCGATGTAACTTCTGGCTGAGGAGGTTCACCCTGTAAAAAGGCATCCCGGATTTTAACAAAAGATATTCAGCCAGCCGAAGTAATGCTCTCGTTTGGGTGGCATTTGACAAAGCAGACCCATTCAAATGAATGAGCCAGCCTGAGCGAGCCCCCCCCCCCCCTGATTTCATTGGGTCATCTCTGAGCAAAACTCAGCCAATGACTGCCCTTAGATTTTAATCAGAAATGCAAGGAATCTTGCAAAAGACATATTGCCATTGAGATGTCTGGTGTGGATCAGACACCGCATCAAAGGAAAGGAAAGAAGTATCCAGCCTCTGCTTCATGGTTTCCCTTGTTCTGTGGACTTTCTCCATGCTAATAGGGCTGCGTACATACCATGTATTCGAAGCACAAGGCTTTCCCCAAAGAAACCCGAAGACTGCAGTGTACCTTTCACAGTGCTACACTTCCTGGCACCCTTAACAAGCTACCATTCCCAGGATTCGTTGGATTACAGGAACCACTGTTTAGAAAGTCCCCAAGTTTTTATGTTGATTTTCCTATTCCCTCCATACCCCTTTTCCTTCCTTGACTTTTGTTGTTGTTGTGGGAGGGGTCTTTTTAGATTGTAAGCCTGCAGATAGGGACTGGCTGCCTTGCTTTGGTTTTACTAAGCCTCCCTGGGATCCCTTTTGGTATAAAATTAAGCTAAACATATGACCAGAATTAAATAAGTCTTGAAAATAAGTAGCCGGGTTGCCAGGTTATACGGCTTTATGATCCCAACTAATTCCCCTTCCCTCTCTGGTCCTGCGCCCACCATGTCCTTGGATGAACAAGTTACGCAGGTGTATCTTTGACTGAGCCGGGATTAGAGATTTAACGCCGGCAAAGCCAGAAATCAGCCCGCTGAGGCGCATGACCTCCCAAACGGCTCCTCCTGGCAGATCTTGCTTCCCCCAAAGGATGCGGGGAACTCTTCCAATCATTCCACATGTTCATTGGCCCAGTCATTCCCTTCCTTTCCCCACTCTTTCCAGGAAAGGTGCCTTGCTGATCAATTGCTTCTCCTCCATGGTGTCCTCTATGTTGATGGTTTGCGCCACTGTGGTGCAAGCCTTCCTGTTCACGATGCTTTCACGCTTCATCGTTGGAATAACCATAGGTGAGTTGGGCTACTTCCTGGATTTAGTGAGGGTGTGGGGTTAAGAGAAAATTCCCTGTTCTGAAATCTGAGTTGGGAAGGAACCAGTGCTTGCAATTCAAAGACATATCAAAAGAAGAACCTCCCCACCACCACCACCTCCATACACTGCTTTGGGGAGCCTCCAGCCCATGGGCCAAACCTGGCCCACCAGCAGGGATGTAGCTAACAATAATGATAGCAATTATAAATATTTTTTAAAAGACCGTTTAGCAACAGCACACACATCGGCCAGATTTGGATCCAAGACAGATACCAGCTGCTGAAATAGCAGGTGCCAAAAAGGCAATAGAGAAGGCGCCTGCCTGATACGCAGTGGGAGGGAGTTCCAGAGGCTACGTTCCGCCAAACTAAAGGCCTGATTCTGGCCATCATGTGGAATGGACCTCCTGGTAGGATGGCATCTGCAGGATGCCCTCTCTTGCAGAACACAATGACTAGTTGGGTAAGTGGGAGATGTTTGTATGCTTCTATGGCTGTCACATGCCTACTGTGAATAATGCCTTGATTTATCCCCTAACCAGGCATCTTCTCCATCGTGGTCCCATTGTACCTCATAGAGATCTCCCCACTGAACATGAGGGGAGCCATTGGCATGCTGCCTCACTTCTTTCTAGCTGTAGGTGTCCTCCTGGCTCAGACACTCTCTTTTCCTGAAATGCTGGGGAACGAAGAAGGTAAATCAGAGAGGAGCACCTCTTAGCCCAAAGGTCATGGTAGAATTGTAGAGATGGAAGGTATTGCCAGGGGTCATTTAGTCCAACATGCTGCAATGCTGGAAAGAGTCCCCAACAGATGACTCAACTCCCAATGAAGAAGAGCTCGCCACCTGAGGGAGACAGTTCCACGACCCCTCCAGTTCCATGTGGTGCTCACAAGCACCAGTGAACCCCCACCAGTACCACCTATGGTGCCCACAAAAAGTCTTACCCAGGATCGGACAGCCAGCGACCCATCAGTTCTGAACAGAGGAGAAGTACAGTGGTAGCTTGGTTCTCAAACTTAATCTATTCCGGAAGTGCGTTCCAAAACCAAGGCGTGCTTTCCCATAGAAAGTAATGCAAAACGAATTGATCCGTTCCAGACTTTTAAAAACAACCCCTAAAACAGCAATTTAACATGAATTTTACTATCTAACGAGACCATTGATCCATAAAACGAAAGCAATAAACAATGTACTGCAGGCACACAATCAATCAGTAGCTGAACTGGGTTCCACACAGTCACAAAAACAAAAAAGAGCCACAAAAACGCAAAATAAATAGCAAAAACAAACAGACCTCAGCATACCACTCAAAATGGAAGTGTGGCACTCAAACCAGTGTAACACTTAAAACAGAGGACATTCGGCTTCCGAAAAAAGTTCGCAAACTGGAACACTTACTTCTGGGTTTGCAGTGTTTGGGTTCTAAGTTGTTTTGAGTACCAAGGCGTTTGAGAACCAAGGTACCACTGTACAGAGACCTTCGCTCTGTGAGCAAGCATAGCGATGGCTGATATAGGTGCCTCCCCCTGCCTGTTGATGTGGGGCACACCCATGGTTATGTCTCTTTTCTTTGCTTTCCCCCCCTTTTAAACGTGGCCACCATAACACCATGCCCCCACAACAGCCATTTCCCCACATCCCCGCGGCAGCCATTTTGTATTATACCCCCATGGCAGCCATTTTGTGTCATGCCACACTTTCCCTCGTGACAGCCAATGGCTAGCACCAATGGCACTTCCCCAAAGGTGCCCCCTGACCCAGGAAGGCCATTGATTCCCTCCCTTAGCGTTGGGCAATTCTGTTGTGCCATCTGAGTTGCTACCTTTCAAGAGCCAGGGTGGCGTGGTAGTTAGATTGTTGGGCTAGGACCTGGGAGGCCAGGGTTCGAATCCTGACTCAGACCTTGAGCCATTCCCAGTCTCTCAGCCTAACCCCCCTCACAGGGTTGTTGTGAGGATAAGATGGGGAGGAAGAGAACCACGTACGCCTCCTTGGACGAAAGGTGGGGTGTCAATGTAATAAATAAAATTAATTGCTCCTTCTTGCGCAGATTGGCCAATACTGACAAGTGTCCCTGGAATACTGGCATTATTTCAGACCGTTGTCGTTCCTTCCTTCCCCGAAAGCCCCAGGTATCTCCTGATTCAGAAAAATGATGAAGAAAAGGCCAGGCTAGGTAACCACATCCATGAACCACTTACATCTTGGAGGGTGAGGGATAATAACATTCAAAGTCTGATTAGCGTTTACCTGAGAAGACAGTCTTAATACAACTGATAGCGCCTAACGCTTTTTCTGAATGAAACGTGGTGTTGTATGTTTGGTGGGGTTGAGTCTGGATGGCCTCTTAGGCAATACTCCAAATACGTCATTCTTGGTTCTCAGAGAGAGAACAGCTGAAATCATTATACTGAATCAAACCATTGGTCCATCTAGCTCAGTAATGCTTACACTGACTGGCAGCAGCTCTCTGGGGTTTCAGACAGGGATCTCGCCTAACCCTTCCCGGCCAGCCTTTTCAGTGGTGGCTCCCCTCTTGTGGAGGGCTCCCGTTTCTTCTTTCGAGGTGACCTCAGTTGTGTTTGTGGGATGTAATCCATTGGTGCAGTCAAATGCAACATTCCTGGTTTCCCTAGAGTGGCACAGGCAGGGGACATCCAGTGTCACTTCCTGTTCCACTGCTCTGGAGCATGTGACCTGGGAGATGGGCGTGGCTCTGGCGGACTCCATAAAAGAGCCGAGTCATGCAGCTCTTTTCTCAGTCTGAATTACTTGCTTCACTTCCTCTCTTGCTGCCATGCTGCTCTCCTGCAGCCATTTTGTTCTCTTATTAATGCACCGTGTTTTCCCGCCTATAAGACGCCCCCATGTATTTTGGGGGACTCTGATTTAAGAAAATGGGAAAGATCTATCCGTGTATAAGACGCCCCCAAATTTTGGACATTATTTTTTAGGGAAGAAACCTAGTCTTATACACGGAAAAATACGGTAATTTTTGCTGTCTACTGGCACTCAGCCAGCTCTGAACAACAACAAGCAACACCTTGGCTAATAATATACTGACAATATTTTTTATAACACTATAAACAGAAGACATATAATATGTGCATGGAGTCACAAACTAATAAGAATCGGATAAATGTTCCATAACCAGGAATGGTAGGATTGGTAAGTCACTGTCAAGGATCACTGACAGTGGCAGAATGCCTTTCCACATCAATATCCTATCCAAAATATAGTTGGAAGTGAGTTGGTGCACGGTGGTGCTACGGGCACAACACTACAAACGTGAGGTGTCGCAATAGGGTGCTCCGAGCACAGCAGCAGACAGAACAGTTCTTCCAGGATAATGAACTGTTTCAATGATGGATCTTCACCAGCAAATTAATAATCCCCAAAGGTACATCAAATGGCCGTGGATCAGCTATCACTCAAAAGTAAGCTCTCAGCCAGCAGCACACGAGTTCAGTCTCCATATGAGATGAACTCACAGTTTGTTGTGTAACCGCTAAGTAAAGCTGCCTTTCTGGGATCAAATTGTGAACTGAAATGTGAGTAAACTTTTTGTTACTTTACTCAGAAAGACCCTTGTGTCTTTATTCTTTTAAGAGGGACAAAAGGGGACACCAGGAATAAACTTAACTAAGAGATTCAAATGAATCTGCAAACTAGCTTCTAGCTATATTGAGGGGAATTTGCTCTGCTACACCACTTCACTAGCCTGAGTGAAGGAAGGATAATATTTATTCAATATATCCTTTCCTACTATCTTTAACATTCCCACAGTGTTTCTGTGAAGCTCCATTGAATGTAGCAGAACACCCATCAATCAATTGATTGATTGACAGGTAATAGAACTAGAACACCATTCTCTTGAAACAGAAGCAGCTTATGTTTGCAGTGCTCCCAAACGCTTAGCTTTGGTGCATGCAGAACAGCTCCTCCTTGGTGTCTTTCTCCAGAGTGACCCTAGGAGCCAGTCCTCAGTGGCCGACTCACCTGTCTTCACTTAGATTGGCTCCAGGCATCACAACGGGTGAGGCGGAACATCTTCTCAGTGGCCAAAAAGCTGGCTGGGTGTCTCTGGGATGCTGGAGACCAGGAACCCGCTGCAGAATTTGTAACTGGTCTTTGCCCCCCTTCCACTACACCTCTTGTGTTTGGTACTGCAAGAAACTCTCCCCGCCAGCCTCCGTCCCCTGCTATTCAAAGGCTTTTTCCATTGCTGCTTCTTTCCAGCCTTGCAGAAGCTGAGGCACAATGAGGACGTGCAGGAGGAGATAGAAGAGCTGCAGCAGGAGAAGATGGCTGAGAAGACGGAGAAGAGCATGAACTCACTTAAGCTGCTGTGCTTCCCAAGCCTGCGGTGGCAAGTCATCTCAGTCATTATCTTGATGGGTGGCCAACAGCTCTCTGGAGTCAACGCAGTAAGGAAGGCAATATCCACAAGCGGTTAGAACAAGGGAGGGGAAGTGGGACCTTTGGCCATCCAGGTGTGGCTGGACTACAACTCCCATCAACCCCAGCAAGGACGGCCAATGGCTGCGGGTGTTGAGAGTTGGCGTTCCAGGGCACTTCCAATGAAGCTGAGCGTTGGAAGATTCAGGGCGGAGGAAAGGAAGGACTTCTTCATAGTTAAACTATGGAACTATGGCCCCACACAGGAGGCCGCGATGGCCACCAGCTCAGGTGGCTTTCAAAGAGGATTGGGCAAATTCGTGGCACAGGCAGCGCTGCATTTAGGGTCACAAGCAGTATGGGCGGAGCTTGTTTTGCACCCAAGCTCCGTCAGCCTTTTGGGGGCCCAGTGGCCATGTTTGGAATGTTGAGGGAGTGCCGTGGGCACCAGTCACAAAATGGCTGCTGGGTGGGGAGGAGACATGAAACAAAATGGCTGCCACATCCAAAAGAGCTGGAAAGGGGCATCACACACCCCCCCGATGGTGTGCGGATGCTGTTACAACAGCTGCCCCACCAACGGCGAGGAAGGCACCTTTGATTCCCATATAGCCAGAGATTCAGAGGATTGCCTGCCTATGTATGTTGGCAACTGCAAACAGTTCTTGTCTGTGCAGAAGAAATGTGAAGAGCTGGATTTAAGGCTGGAAAAGAAACAAAAACGGACCAATTTTCCCATCCCTAGTTTGGAGTTGGAGAGAAAGGATCTTAGGCTTCATTTTGTAGACAGTGCCTCCAAACCCTGAGTCAGCCACAGGACCATCGCCCAGTAAGCTAAAAGTCTCAGTTGTTTTGGTCTCATTTCAGGTATACTTTTATACAGAGAGACTCTACCTGTCTACAGGAACTGACCTAAATAATCTCCCATACATCCGTTTAGCATCAAGCGTTGCCATCATCATTTCAGTCTTTGTCGGGGTAAGCCTGCCTTACTTTCGCCTTTTTTCCTGCCCCTTAAAGTCTCAAAGCTCAGTCTGCTCCAAAGGATGTTCCTGCGCTGCAAACTTTAGCAGCAGTTTTGTGCCAGCACTTAGGAATACAGTGTACCTCGGGTTACATACGCTTCAGGTTACAGACTCCGCTAACCCAGAAATAGTGCTTCAGGTTAAGAAGTTTGCTTCAGGATGAGAACAGAAATTGTGCTCCGGTGGCACAGCAGCAGCAGCAGGAGGCCCCATTAGCTAAAGTGGTGCTTCAGGAACGAATTAAGTACTTAACCCGAGGTACCACTGCACAGGAAGGCACCTTATACCAAGTCAGATCCTTTGTACATCTAACTCTGTATTGTCCACACTGACTGGCAGCAGCTCTCCAGGCTTTCAGCCTTTCCTGGCCCTACCTGGCCTGAGCCTTGGAGGGAGGGGCTCACAGCATTGACACTCCAACCGATCTTGCCTCCTCGTGAGGTTCCCGGGGAGATCACCAAGGCTAGTATAGAGCAGTATGTTCTTCTGTATGTCCAGCTTCCAGCACCAGCCAAAGTTCATACATACGCTCACTACACACAGCCCCACTTGGCTCCCTGTTCTCTATCAAGGTGAGGTGGTAAAAGACCCACCTGTTTGTTTCTGAGCCCTCTCTCTCACCCCCCATTTTAAACTTACTAAGAACCCTGCAAGGTTGGTTAAGATGAGACCGAGTGCTGCGTCCTTCCTTTTTCACATGCTTTCTTTCCCTTGCTGTTACATTCTCTAGATAGTTTACATTGACTCAATGGGGCGAAAGTTCCTGCTGCTCCTTGGTTTTGGCATGTGCACCATCCTCTGCGTCGTATTAACCATGAACCTTGAACTTCAGGTTGGTTGGTTTTTTTCTGAACTCTTCAAGCACCAATGTCCCCGAAAGCCAAGCGCTACTCCGTCGATTGCTCCTTGGCTATGTGCACGCTAGCAACTGAAAGAGCACCACTCCTTTGATGGCTCTCTCGCTGTGTACGCATTAACACTTTGAAATGCAGCGACGTCGCTTCTCTTCTGCTGCGTTTCAAGTTGTGTTTTCACATTGCTGTGCGCACCAGAAAGGAGGCACCTGGTGCATATTGCATGTTGGGTTTCCCCACCTCTGCAATCCATCTGCCCCCAGACAGATGAAGCTGTCATCTGCGCATTTATTTCACAAAATTTATATACCACTTGTTCATTAAATTAAAAAAGCCCTCCGAGTTTCACAATAGGAATAAAACAATGAAATTATTTAAAACAGTTTATAACCACTACAGTCGTACCTTGAATCCCGGACACCCTGGAACTTGAACGTTTTGGCTCCTGAATGCCACAAACCTGGAAGTGAGTGTTCCGGTTTGCGAACATTCTTTTGGAACCTGAACGTCTGATGGGGCTTCCACGGCTTCTGATTGACTGCAGGAGATTCTTGCAGCCAATCAGAAGCTGCAATTTGGTTTTCGACTTCCAAGGTACGACTGCATCTTTAAACCTTTATTTAAAAAATTAAAACATGTGCTGGCATTCTACATGTCACCTAAACAGTTGAGCTAAGTCTGGGACCTTTTGCAGACCAAGAACTGCAGTGGTGGGTGGGGCTGGAAGCAAAAGTAGGCTGAGCAATGAACTCACGTCATTTGCCTTGGTAGAGTAGGCTGGTTTCTGCATGCACCTTCCCAAACCCCTTCTCTCACCTACGTCCAGGCATGCAAGAGGCATGATCAGAGTTCAAAGAGCACATTTCCAGCTGGGCTAAAACACAGTGAAGGAGGGTGTGTGGAGCAAGGCTGATATGGCCTTGGAATAGGTCGCAGCTCTCTATAAATGAGTGTGAGTGATCGAGGCCTCGAATTAGCATCGCTCCTATTTACACAGTTGATACGTGGGGACCATACCTTATCAAAATGGTCATATTTGGTTTGGATAATAATAATAATAATAATAATAATAATAATAATAATAATAATAATAATAATAATATTTATTTATACCCCACCCATCTGGCTGAGTTTCTCCAGCCACTCTGGGCGGCTCCCAATCAAGTGTTAAAAACAGTACAGCATTAAATATTAAAAACTTCCCTAAAAGGGCTGCCTTCAGATGTCTTTTAAAGATAGGATAGCTGCTTATTTCCTTCACATCTGAAGGGAGAGTGTTCCACAGGGTGGGCGCCACTACCAAGAAGGCCCTCTGTCTGGTTCCCTGTAACCTCATTTCTTGCAATGAGGGAACCGCCCGAAGGCCCTCGGTGCTGGATCTGAGTGTCCGGGCTAAACGATGGGGGTGGAGACGCTCCTTCCGGTATACAGGACCTTCAGGTATACAGGACCGAAGATTCTAACAACCCTTCTGTGCAGCACAAGGTGCTTTAAAAAGGACCAGATCTTTCCCTTGCTATCCCATCAGAGATGCTCCTCTGGCACTGGCACATTTTCAAGAAGAGGGCCAGGCCTCCCCCAAACCCTGCAGCAATCCTCAAGAGGACGCGCCAGGACGAAGACACTTGGCTGTCCCGCGTCCTTTTGAGAATCGCCAGGAATGTGGCAGGGTGAAGCATGTTCGCAGGCCAAGTTGACCTGGCCACTTTGGGGCGGGGGGCATCGTGCGTGTGACATCATGCACATGCGGTGCCCCCGCCCCAATTTTGGGCGCAACTCAGTGTCGCTGTCCTCTGGAGTCTTCCCAATGGGAAGTGATCTCTCCTGAGTAAACAGTGTCTGTTTGACCAATAATATCAGCGATTACGGCAGATGAAGATGATGGACTTTTCGGAGCTAGCTGACCTGACTGGAAGAATCCGCGACCAGAAAGAAGAGGAGTTTCAAGAGGACTGGAGGAAATTTAAGGACTATTTGAACAAATATTGTAATATAAAAAATTAGAAATTACTTGAAAGAAACAAATAGGCCTAGGATTAAACTAAGTTATAATTAAATAAATGGGATTTAGAATATTAAGAAAAGTGAATAAGACGGACTAGAATTGGAAATTGTTTTAGTTTAATAATGATATTGGAAAGCTGTTACTTTTAACTACAACGAAACTCAGAAGGGAGGGACTAGAGGAAGTCAACCACGATGTTTAAAAGGTTGGATTTGTAAAGAATTAAGTTTGATGTTATTGTTTATCTGTTTATTGTTCTTTTTTTCTTCTTTCGTTCATTGATGTATTTTTCTTTCCCCCCCCCCCTGTTTTTGTGTGTCATTCTGCTTTGTGGTTTTTGTTATGATTGTGGAAAATCTAATAATTTTTTTATAATAATAATAATATCAGTGATTACATCAAAAGCGCTTTGCCCAAACCTAGCAAGCTTGACACGCTCTCACAACTCTCTCCAACAGGGAGATGCCTTGTGGATGTCTTACGTCGATGCGCTCCTCATCAATATTTTCCTCATGGTACATGCCGTCGGACCCAGTAAGTGCTCAGGTGATACGCAGAGTTCCTTGGAGGAGGCGCAGGATGTGAAGAGCAAAAGGTTTCAAGGGTCGAGGGTGGTCAGGCATCCAAAGCCTTTATTTATCCTCAGCCCCTTCCACTACAGTGTGTCAGGAGCCAGAGTCAGGTGTAGATCAGCAATATAAAAAACACAGCGCCAGCAAAAACTCTTCCAAAACAGAGCAGCCCTAATGATCCCAGCAACTCTTCCCTTTCCAGTGAGGTCAGGCCGACTCTCTCCTTGTCCTTCCACTGGCAAGTGACAACTGTTTTATTCTGGCAGGCCTTTGGGAACTGACTGTTTTGTTGTTTTTAAGGAAAGGGTCATAGTGTTTTTCGTGTTTTTATTATCTGCATTTTAACAGATTTTGGGCTTGTTTGTTTTTTCATTGTTTTAATCCCATTACAGTTTAATGCAGAAGTCAGCAAACTTTTTCAGCAGGGGGCCGATCCACTGTCCCTCAGACCTAGTGGGGGGCCGGACTATATTTTGAAAAATATGTATGAACTAATTCCTATGCCCCACAAATAACCCAGAGATGCATTTTAAATAAAAGCAGACATTCTACTCATGTAAAAACATGCTGATTCCCGGACCGTCCACGGGCCAGATTTAGAAGGCGATTGGGCCGGATCCAGCCCCCGAGCCTTAGTTTGCCTACCCATGGTTTAACCTAATGGGATTAAATATGAGATTACAGTTCGTAAGATCCCTTGAGTCCCAGGTTCTGTGGAAAGAGCAGGGTACAAAAGAATAATGAAAATAATAGTAGATGGGTTTCCAAGACTGAAGAACACTGATCTACTGGGCTTCGTAGTGAACCGCAGAAGTCCCACGATCCTGTTTTCTGTTGATGTTTGTTAATGGTATGTTCAGAAAATCTCCGAATAAAAGTAGTTTGTAGCACTTTACATGAAAAACCCATTTAAAAAATGGAATGCCATTTTGAGGCCAATTGTTTTATAGTATTAAAGACTGTTTGAAAGGTTTCTAATCTGCTTTTCAAGGGGGGAGACTTCACAAAGTGGTGTAGAAAATAATCATCAAAGTATGGCCCAACTTTACAAGGGACGCGGGTGGCACTGTGCGTTAAACCACAGAGCCTAGGACTTGCCAATCAGAAGGTCGGCGGTTCAAATTCCCGCAACGGGGTGAGCTCCCGTTGCTTGGTCCCTGCTCCTGCCAACCTAGCAGTTCGAAAACACCTCAAAGTGCAAGTAGACAAATAGATACCGCTCCGGCGGGAAGGTAAATGGTGTTTCCGTGCGCTGCTCTGGTTCGCCAGAAGCGGCTTAGTCATGTTGGCCACATGACCCGGAAAAACTGACTGTGGATAAACATCGGCTCCCTCGGCCAATAAAGCAAGATGAGCGCCGCAACCCCAGAGTCGGTCACGACTGGACCTAATGGTCAGGGGTCCCTTTACCTTTATGGCCCAACTTTAAAACTTTTTAAAAATCTTCTTTGTGGTTAAAAATATATATAACAACAAATGGCCCCAACAAAATACCTCAATGCATGGCATGTGTGTGTGTGTTATTTTGTTGTTTTTGTTTTAACTATTCACTTGCGTTTTTACCTTGTATTTTATCCTGTGAACCGCCCTGAGATCTTGTCATGAAGGGCAGTATATAAAGCCAATAAATAACGACAACAACGAGAAAATAAAGTATATAAACAGTTAAGCAGTTACTAAACAGAGGCAAGATTAAACCACTTTAAAAATAGTTCTCTTTTTTAAAAATAAAAATAAAAAAATCTCCTCCCAACGAGCAGTGAACTCTTTTCTCTACACAGGTGCTCTTCCCAACCTGATAATAGCAGAGCTTTTCCTTCAGTCCTCGCGGTCCTCAGCCTATGTGGTCGGGGGATTTGTGCATTGGTTCCTAAACTTCTTCAGCATTGTGACCTTCCTCAATATCCAAGTGAGTGATTCTGGTGGTCCGTGGGTGTTCTGAACCTTCTACAGCGAAGGGCTGTAGCTCACCATTAGAGCATCTGCTTGGCATGCAGACGGATGTTGAGGACCTAGGAAGCTGCCTTGTCCCTCACTAGTCCATCTAGCTAAGCACTGTCTACACTGACTACCAGAGGCTCTCTAGGGTTTCAGACAGGGAGTCTTTCTCAGTCCTACTTGGAGCCGTCGGGGGTTGAACTGAGCACCTTCTACATGCAAGGCAGATGCTCTGACACTGAGCTATCGTATTTCCTGTAAAAAAACAAAACAAAACGTAAGATTCTAGTCCTCCTAATTCTAGGTAAAGGGTTGAATAAGGGTTGAATACAAACATAAGAAGCTGCCTTATATCAAGCCAGTAGTGTCTACACGGACTGGCAGTGGCTCTCCAAGGTTTCTGAGAAGGGGCCGCTCCCAGATTCACCTGGACTTGCCAGGGATTGAATTTGAGGCCTCCTATCCCTGAGCCACAGCCATGGGCATAGCCGGGGGGGGGGGCAGCTCTCCCCCCAAAATCAAGTAATTAAATAAAAATACTTAAGTAAAAGTATAAATTGTAGAAAGATATTGGCAGATTTTTTTCCGAGCACTTGGGGTCAAAAGAAAGGAATTTAAAACAACTGCTGTTGAGACATTTCATTCTGACTCTGCTAGACAGAGCCAGACAGAGGATGATGACAGGTAGGTGTTCTCCCTGCCCCCTAAATCCTGGCTACGCCTATGGCCATAGACCATAAAAAAGCACTGGGAAATATAATGCGCTAAATTAATAAGCTTATGCCTTTCTGTGGGTGGATCTACACACAGGGGAAAACCCCCCACTATAGATAAGTCATAAAAATTAAATCTTTATAACAAAAGGAAAAAAACCTCTATGTAAAATCGCATAGAAAAGTTTCCTGCTCTACAGCGCCATCTGGTGTTGCAACACATTTATAACACATTTAAAACTCAGTTTTTTGACTCATGTTGCTGAGCCCTGTTTCTCTCTCTGTGTGTGTTGCTGCTCCTGTTCCTTTCCAGAAATACATCGGATTCTTCAGCTTCCTCATCTGCTGTCCGATATGTGCTGCCACCTTCTTTTTCATCTTAAAGATGGTCCCAGAAACCACGCACCAGACTTTTCTGGAAATCAGGAAGCAACTGCCCATCTACGTGGCCCAAAGGCAGATCACCAAGATGGAGCGAATGCCGAGGAGAAACACCAGGCGGGCGTTGGGGGAGGGGCAAAACCCTGTGTAGAATTTGATTATAAACATTTATAATCGAGCCATGATCCCAAGGGAATCTCTACGGTTGTCCTTCAGCTGTCTCAGCACCGTTGACACACCAGTATTGAGGTTTTGCCTCGATTCATTCATTGCCCACCCTCCACCCTAAAGTGTGGGCTCCAAACTTAGGTGGGGTCCGAGAAATACTCACCTCAAGGGTCAAAAGCCCAAGTAGAAAGGTGCATCTTCCACATTTGATAGAAACTGCATAATGCCAAGCACACCACTGTGGGGAGGGAATTTCACATCTTAGCAGATCACACACCAAAAAGGGGCATAGGGTGGGGTGGGTGGGGGCCATGGGTCTGGGCACAGATTTCTGGGGGGACATGAGGTGAGGCAACCAGGTGCGTCCACAACAGATATTGCGAATATACAAGCATACAAACATGGATTTTCTATGCTTTTGTATGGATTTTTTTCAAAAAAATATTTTTCCGCCGGTTAAGTTGTCGAGGTCTGATTTCTTGTCCTGTGATAAAAAGCCTTCTGTTTCGACCGCCAAACCTTTCAGGGGAGCATTTGCAACCGTTGGGTACCATTTTTGAGTTAATTGCTGAAAGTCAAATTTTTTCTTAAATTGTGACCCCGGGACTTAGGGATTTTTTCAAAAAAATCTTCTTCCGCCGGTTAAGGTGTCGAGGTCTGATTTCTTGTCCTGTGATAAAAAGGCTTCTGTTTCGACCGCCAAACCTTTCAGGGGAGCATTTGCATCCGTTGGGCACCATTTCTGAGTGAATTGCCGAAAGTCAAAATTTTTCTGAAATAGTGACTTAGGGATTTTTTCAAAAAAATCTTCTTCCGCCGGTTAAGGTGTCGAGGTCTGATTTCTTGTCCTGTGATAAAAAGCCTTCAGTTTCGACCGCCAAACCTTTCAGGGGAGCATTTACATCCGTTGGGCACCATTTCTGAGTGAATTGCCGAAAGTCAGATTTTTCCCCTGCCCCCTAAATCCTGGCTACGCCTATGGCCATAGACCTTTCCCACCTAAGGTAGGATGGAGAAAGCACATTCCACACCTACCCTCACCCGGTCCCAAAACTTCCCTTCTGGGGTGTTACTAGAGAGAGAGATGGAAACCAAGCCTTATGAGGAACAGTTGAAGGAGTTGGGTATGTTTCGCCTGGATAAAGATAGAGCACTGATAGAGAATTGTAGAGTTGGACTCAAGTGTCATCTGGTAACTATCTTCAAATATCTGAAGGGCTGCCACATAGAATACAGAGCAAGCTCTCCCCCCCCCCCCATTGCTCCAGAGGGCAGGGCCCAAACTAATGTATTCAAATGGCAAGAAAGAATTTCCCAGGTAAACATCAGGCAGAACTGTCGACAGTGGAACCAACTATCTCAGAGGATTCTCTGGCTGTGACTTCTGCATTGTAGCCGGGGGTGAGACCAGAACACCCTTGCCAGGGGGTCTCTTCCAACTTTACAATTCTATGATTCTACGAGATAACCCAGCCTTGAGTTCCTTGAAGGAAAAAAGCACTGGGAAATATAATGCGCTAAATTAATAAGCTTATGCCTTTCTGTGGGTGGATCTACACACAGGGGGAAACCCCCCACTATAGATAAGTCATACAAATTAAATCTTTATAACAAAAGAAAAAAAACCCTCTATGTAAAATCGCATAGAAAAGTTTCCTGCTCTACAGCGCCATCTGGTGTTGCAACACATTTATAACACATTTAAAACTCAGTTTTTTGACTCATGTTGCTGAGCCCTGTTTCTCTCTCTGTGTGTGTGTGTTGCTGCTCCTGTTCCTTTCCAGAAATACATCGGATTCTTCAGCTTCCTCATCTGCTGTCCGATATGTGCTGCCACCTTCTTTTTCATCTTAAAGATGATCCCAGAAACCACGCACCAGACTTTTCTGGAAATCAGGAAGCAACTGCCCATCTACGTGGCCCAAAGGCAGATCACCAAGATGGAGCGAATGCCGAGGAGAAACACCAGGCGGGCGTTGGGGGAGGGGCAAAACCCCGTGTAGAATTTGATTATAAACATTTATAATCGAGCCATGATCCCAAGGGAATCTCTACGGTTGTCCTTCAGCTGTCTCAGCACCGTTGGCACGCCAGTATTGAGGTTTTGCCTCGATTAATTCATTGCCCACCCTCCACCCTAAAGTGTGGGCTCCAAATTTAGGTGGGGTCCGAGAAATACTCACCTCAAGGGTCAAAAGCCCAAGTAGAGAGGTGCGTCTTCCACATTTGATAGAAACTGCATAATGCCAAGCACACCACTGTGGGAGGGAATTTCACATCTTAGCAGATCACACACCAAAAAGGGGCATAGCGTGGGGTGGGTGGGGGCCATGGGTCCGGGCACAGATTTCTGGGGGGACATGAGGTGAGGCAACCAGGTGCGTCCACAACAGATATTGCGAATATACAAGCATACAAACATGGATTTTCTATGCTTTTGTATGGATTTTTTCAAAAAAATCTTTTTCCGCCGGTTAAGTTGTCGAGGGCTGATTTCTTGTCCTGTGATAAAAAGCCTTCTGTTTCAACCGCCAAACCTTTCAGGGGAGCATTTGCATCCGTTGAGCACCATTTCTGAGTGAATTGCCGAAAGTCAGCTTTTTTCTGAAATTGTGACCCCGGGACTTTGGGATTTTTTTCAAAAAAATATTTTTCCGCCGGTTAAGTTGTCGAGGGCTGATTTCTTGTCCTGTGATTAAAAGCCTTCTGTTTCGACCGCCAAACCTTTCAGGGGAGCATTTGCAACCGTTGGGCACCATTTTTGAGTCAATTGCCGAAAGTCACATTTTTTCTGAAATTGTGACCCCGGGGTTTAAGGATTTTTTCAAAAAAATATTTTTCCACCGGTTAAGGTGTTGAGGTCTGATTTATTGTCCTGTGATAAGCCTTCTGTTTCGACCGCCAAACCTTTCAGGGGAGCATTTGCAACCGTTGGGAACCATTTCTGAGTGAATTGCCGAAAGTCAGATTTTTTCTGCAATTTTAACCAAGGGGCTTAGGGATTTTTTTTTTAAAAAAGCTGTTCAGACCTCGAGGGCTATTTCTGTTTCAATGATAAAAACCCATCTGTTTCCACCGAAAAACCTTTCAGGGGATCGTTTGCAACAGTTTGGCACCATTTTTGAGTGAATTGCAGAACGTCAGATTTTTGCTGAAATTGTGACCGCGCGGCTTAGGGATGTTTTCCAAAAAAAGTTGTTCAGACCTCGAGGGCTAATTCTGTTTCCGATCATAAAAACCCATCTGTTTCTACCGAAAAACCTTTCAGGGGATCGTTTGCAAGAGTTTGGCAACTTTTTTGAGTGAATTGCAGAACGTCAGATTTTTCCTGAACTTGTGACCGCGCGGCTTAGGGATGTTTTTTTTTAAAAAAGTTGTTCAGACGTTGAGGGCTAACTCTGTTTCCGATAATAAAAACCCATCTGCTTCCACCAAAAAACCTTCCGATGATAAAAACCCAACTGTTTCTGCCGAAAAACCTTTCAGGGGATCGTTTGCAACAGTTTGGCACATTTTTGAGTGAATTGTAGAACGTCAGATTTTTGCTGAAATTGTGACCGCGCGGCTTAGGGATTTTTTCAAAAAAACTTGTTCAGACCTTGAGGGCTAATTCTGTTTCTATGAAAAAAACCCATCTATTTCCACCGAAAAGCCTTTCAGGGGATCGTTTGCAACAGTTTGGCACCATTTTTGAGTGAATTGCAGAACGTCAGATTTTTGCTGAAATTGTGACCGCGCGGCTTAGGGATTTTTTCAAAAAAACTTGTTCAGAGCTTGAGGGCTAATTCTGTTTCTATGAAAAAAACCCATCTGTTTCCATCGAAAAACCTTTCAGGGGATCGTTTGCAACAGTTTGGGACCATTTTTTAGTGAATTGCAGAACGTCAGATTTTTGCTGAAATTGTGACCGCGCGGCTTAGGGATTTTTTTAAAAAAAAGTTGTTCAGACCTCGAGGGGTAATTCTGTTTCCGATTATAAAAACCCACCTGTTTCCACTGAAAAACGTTTCAGGGGATCATTTGCAACAGTTTGGCACCATTTTTGAGTGAATTGCAGAACGTCAGATTTTTGCTGAAATTGTAACCGCGTGGCTTAGGGATTTTTTTCAACAAAAGGTTTTCCGCAATTTTAGACGTTGAGGGCTTATTCT